AATTTTCTCAATATTTCCCACAATGTTGAGCTTCCTGCTTGTTTTGTTCAGTTTATTTGAGGTATAGTTTTAAGACTTTTCTCAAGATTTCCCACAATGTTGACCAGAAGTATTGTATGTGTTTCTATCGGTACTTTTTTTTGATATGCAGTGTGTATGAGGTAATCTCCACCCATAGGTATCAACTTTAGTGAGTCTATTTTATCTTTCAGTTCTAATTATATTCAAGCGTAAATATAGAAGATTTTTTTTTCATGAAATGGTTTTTAATGGGATTAAGAGTGATATGTCAATGAATTATATACGAACTACGTTAATAAATCAAGCACTTTTTTTTTTTCCTGCAAGTTTTAAGAGAAACACTCAGCCTAGTTTTTTTAAAACTTAGAACTGTGATTGGAATAGGTATTGTATATCATGAATACACAGTTGTTATTGTTTCTTCATTATAAACTAATATAGAACATGGTTTAATCTAGACAATAAGATAAAAAATAGTTCATGGCTTTTCTCGACACTATTTACACTGCTTGGGCATGGAAAGGAATAATTGCCAGTGTAAAGAGATTGATAATAATTTTGGTCAAAAAGTTTCGCACTTAGATCAGTTATATTGACAAACTCGTGACAAAAGTTTGAAAATAAACACATTTTTCAGCAGTTGAATTAACCTTGTGTAAAGAATGCTGAAGATGTCCCACAAGCTCCATGTTTTGTTTCTCTTAAAAAGGCAGTTTTAATTGTTTTTTGTGATATACAATTGAAACTGCTTTGAGGGAAGTTATTTGTGATATACAATTAAAACTGCTTTGAGGGAAGTTATTTGTGGTATACAATTAAAACTGCTTTGAGGGAAGTTATTTGTGATATACAATTGAAACTGCTTTGAGGGAAGTTATCTGTGGTATACGATTAAAACTGCTTTGAGGGAAGGGGAAGTTATTTGTGGTATACAATCAAAGCAGTTTTAATTGTATATCACAAATAACTTCCCTCAAAGCTACAATAAGACTTGAAAGTTTCTGTGATTGGGAAGCAAGAACTAAATTAAAATTTTGGAATGTGAGTAGTGCTTATATTTGTATAATGGTTTCCTTTATTACTTGATTTTTTTTTTGTATTATTATTTTAAGTTTCTTAAGATATCTGTGAAAGGGTGAACAATGAGACATGTAACAAAAAGTTATTCTGTTTTGACTTTTAATATTAATGTATCCAGTTATGTAATTGATAATGATTTTTTCGACAAACACGCTAAACATTAAATATGAAGGTAGCATGGGATAGATAGTTCACAACATCGGAAACTGTATCCAGAACTTTGTCTCATAACAAAACTCAGTATTAGAGCTGGATGATCAGTGAAGTTTTCTAATCAACTGATTGTCGAGGTCATTGAATTAATCGGTTATTCTCACACGAGACTTGAATAATTGAAAATAGTGATAACAGGAAACACTAATTTTGATGTGATGATTAATGTCATCAAACATGATACTAATCAATTAAGCTGAACAAATTTACATTAATCAAAAATAATAAAGACGGTATTTCAAGTATTTAGATAGCCGGAATAATCATTAACAGTCATTTTAATTAGTTGATTATTTTTGTGGAATTTCTCAATTTAATCCAATTTCAAATAATCAGATATTTTATGTGACATTGATATAGTTGAAGCCCAGCTCTACTATGTTTATGTAAATATTCATGTTTTGATTATTGAATGTGGCAACCTAAGTTCTTGCAGTTTTGACTAAATGCATAAATTGCTAATTGTTTATAACATACAGGAATGTATATCTCAAAAACTGTAATAAAATGTGACCTCATTAGTGAATGAATACTGGCTTGTCTGAGTGTGCCTTCTGAGAAGGATTTAGTGTTAGCTCATAATTCAAAATTATAAAGTCTCTGGAGAAAATTCATGAGTAGTGGCTCAGGTGGATACAAGAATACTAATACCACTTCCAAAATGTAATCCTAATCTCTTTTAAAAGCTGTTGTTGTTTTTTCTTTCAAATCAAACCAGTTAACAGTTTTGAATAGCTCCGTATTATTCAAACTGACCATTGAACTTGTACACATTACACAAAATGTTAGGTGCATGCTTAGTTTTTGTGTTTGTTCACCATAATGTAAAAACTAAAATCTTTGTGAGGTATAAGGTGAAATATTCTTATATGGTTGTGATATAATCTAGAGATAAAATTGGTAGTTTTCTATCATGAAATTAAAAATATCATACTCTGTAAATTCTGTATGGTCTTTCTGCCGTATGCATGTAAAAAATGCCAAGAAAAGTTAGCTATGAGTATCAAAACTGTATGTTTTATTGACTTACAAAATTATATTGAGAACACCAGCTTTCATTCACTGTTGTAGAATACACTTCCCGTGTTTTGTGTAAGTAAGTAAGGATTAAGTAAGCTTTCACAGCATATGTACGTACCAAACCAAGCAGTATTTGTCATAGTAAGTCATACTTTTTGGTTTTTAACCTTTTTTTCCTTAAATCTTAAGTAATTTTTTTAAAATGTGATGAAATAAGAACTTTCACGGTTTCTTTTCACATACTTTGTAATGAAGTAACGTTTAAATTTATAAAAGATACTAAAATTAATACCCAAAAATAATTTTAAAGAGAACCAAGGTTTTTTTTTTAATTTTGACAAATTTAGGACATTTGTAGCTTGCAATCAGTGATGGAGTAAGGTGTGTGTGTTTCTATACTACCGTGTTTTGATCAAATTTCATAATTAATCTTTCAGTTATGTTAAGGCTCTTGTTTTGGATACAGTGCCAGCAAGTTCTCAACAGACATTGAATGTTGCATGTGATTAGCTCACAATACAGAATCAGATGTAATAGCACTGCAACTTGTTACTTCTTCCTTCCTGTGTATTAATTGTTATCCGTTACCGTGTTTTCAAGAACATCTACTGCATAGCGTATTAAATTCGTTAAGTCCCACTCAACTGTTAGTGGATTAAGACAAGTTTTACCGGAAATTCATAATAAGGTGATTGCTATAGAGCAGAGTTTCTCAAACTGGTGTCAGAAGACCCCTATGGGTCTGCAAGTTATGTCCAAAATTTCATAAAAATATTTTTGTTAAAAATGATTTATAGAATAAAAAGTATTTTATGTAAAATTAACTTTATATGAATTAAAACATTTAATTTTGAAATACAGCTTTTCATGTATACACTATACAGAATCTTTCTTTTTTTTCAAAAAAATATTGATAGGTGTGTTTAGGGGGTCCTAAAAAAAATTGGGTTACTAAAGTTTGAAAACCAGTGCTGTGGAGTAAACCTGGAAGAAGTATACATGTTTTGGCTAATAGAAAAAAAAAATAATTAAAAACTGTTGTCTTCCATTTTAAGTGAAATAGGTGAGAATTTAACCACTTTTGAATCTTTTTTTTTTGTAGTAATTTTTAGTTGTGCTTATTTCATGGTGCTTGGAGATCCTCAGGTCCAAAAATCAGCATATCCCCCAGTATGGCATTCTACTGTAGGAGGAGGAGGTAACATGAATTATTTTATCAAGTGACCACGTAATAAATAAAAGGTGATTTGATCATAAAACAGCTCTAGGTCAAATGTTATTTGTTGAAACCGTATAATTATGATGTGAATTTGGTTGTATATACTTTGCTTCAGTCAATTACGTTATCGAGTATTCTACAAAATTAGTCCCGTTGCAGTGTGTGCAAGCAGACTGTACTTTAGCTAGTCTTATGGAGAAGACTAAAGGAAGGTGGAAGTCTTTCGGTCAAATCTCGAGTATCGACATACCATAGTTTCATTAGAATGCAGGTTGTCTTAACTGCATCCTTTTTAACTTGTAGTTCAGCTTAGTTCATTATGTTGTACAAAGAGGTTAAATGGTAACTGTTTTTATGAATGTGTATTACAATAGCAGAACTGCAGTTGCAGTTCATACAGTGAAATATATATAGATAATATCTTTTTGTACTGTTAAAAATATTAAACATTTTGTTTGAGTTGCCAGGAATTTAAAATAATTACATCACATTCACAGCCAGTATAAGTTCTTGGAGGTTACTGGTTCAGAGGGTATTTATTAGATCCAAATGTTGATTTATCAAATGTTTGTGACTAGTGTTGATATGTGAACCATTACGAAAAAATAATTTTGGAGTCATTTAGTGCTATTGGCCACTTTATTATATTTTATGCCAGAAAGTGTAATTAATATTAAAATTTCACAGTTTAGAATCAAGTGCTAGTTTACAAAATAGTCATGTTAGATCTTCTGTATCTTGCAAATAAGATGTGAAAAAATTTAATGAGTGTATTACAAAAAAAAAAAATATTTAAGGACTTTTTATCATTTCTCTGCCCAGTAAAACCAGAAATACACTTACTAGTAAAAAAAGGTTTCTTTAAGGTAAGAAATATGTTCACATTATATCTTTATAATTTGTGTTGTCTACTTAAATTTGTGCAAAAGAATATGTCGTGGACATATCTATATATATTATTGGACTTTTTTTTTTGTCAGTGATGACCAACATGAACCCAACGAACATTTGGCCAAAAAAGAAAAGATATCTACAAGGCTGTTAATGTTGAACTCATTACAGAGATATTAACAGTTACTTACTCAAAAAAAATATTACAACCAGAGAAAAAAAAGGTTCTTTTTTTTTTGGTCCTTTAAAATTTATGACCAATTCCTGTGCTGATCTTTTTTTTTTTTGACATTTTGTTTCTATGATGTAATGAGTTAGGAGTAGTAGTATTTTAAAATAAAGTTGTCTTGTGCATGATGTTTATATTTTGTCTATGAAACCATTTTAAAAGTTATTACTACTTGTATTAAGATTTGTTTTACATGTATTGTCAATTTTTTTGTAATTCTTATGTTTTGTTCTGTAAAATGTTAATAGTTTTGCTTTTCCATATTGAATGCATACATTAGTAATAAGATGGACTGTGTGAAGCTAAATAATAAATTTAAAAATACCTTTTTTGTTGTTTTAGTCCACCACATGGATTTATAACTACAGGGTTTTATGCATTGTAATATTTTATGATTCTTTCTAAAGTACAGAATCTTCATTTCTATATATTAAAGATAGAGAAGAAAGGTTAAAATTTTATCTGGAGTTTACATTATTAATCTAATGGTAATAGCCAAGTGCATTATAAGAAAAAAAAATCACATCTTGTGTTAAGTTTCAACCATTTTTGTAAGGAAGACTGACAAGTAGAAACACCAAACTAAATACTTCATTTTACTATTTTATGTTTTGTATCATTTCACTTCCTCATAACAGTAGAATTAAGATTAAATCAAAGCCCATGTAGTCTTTCACTGTTTGGATTTGAGGTTATTTGGTAAAACAGGCTTGGAAATACAGAATTTTTTAACCTTTTATTGTACTGCTTGTCTGAGATTTATCATATAAAAATAGTGCTGTTGCCCATAATATATATATTTTCAGTCTATATATAAGTAAGAGTTAATGCAGTGTTAGGCAGCTTTGGATGTATTTATTCACGTTAAGAAAATAATTTATATCTGCATCTACGAGGAACCGAGAGGTATTAAAAATGGATTTCTCAGACAGTTTGTAAATCTGTGTAATGTTATTTTTACTCAAATTAACCAGCATTTTTACATAAAGAAATTACATTTGTGGACATAGTAACTGAAACGTCTCATCTGTGGGTAGAAACAGTTCATAACGTAAAGAGAAGTAACAATGTGCAATAGACAACATAATACACATCAGTACTTTAGAAACCTTGAATTGACAGGTAAAATACTAGTGTCTAACATATCTTGGACTTACAGATAATACATATACACTGACCCTTACTGGTTCTTGGGAGAATTAACTTTACAACTTCTGTGCTACACTACAAACAGATGTACTGTTTAATATGTAGACTATATATACTGTATATCTAAAGTTGTAAAACACTGCTTCTGCCAAAAATTACTATTACAAAATAACTACTAAATGTAACCGCGGAGACAGGATGACATTATTTGGTCAGAAAAGGATTATTTTTAAATATAGATATTGCTGTAAAAACTTCACCAGTTTTCTTTCTTAAATTATTCTTTAGTGATATTCCATGTGTTCAGAAATGAAGAAAATTTCACAACAAAGACCATGTGACTTTATCATAGGTATTTCAAAAGTACACTTAAATACTGCATAGTATTGGTCAGCACTAGTCAAAATTATATAGGGAAGGGAGAAAATTGGGACTTGAGTATAAAGTTTTAACATGGATATTTTCAAAGCTACGTGACTTTTCTGTTTCAAGTTTGATATATTAAGAAAGTATTATTCTTAAGTGTAATAACTTCCAGTAAAAATGGTTTGTCTTCACCCATGAATTTGATTATAAAAGTATCGTCTATCTAAACAAGTTTAATTCTTTACCTTATACTTCGTGTAACTTGTGTGACTAATTGGTAACAATAGACTAACTCACCATCTTACAACCAGAGTTCCACTTTAAAAGGTACACAATTTTTCTCAATTATTATCTTATTATTATAGCTGTAAATATGGAATCACTATAAATCTGTACATGTCTACCATTCTTGAAATGTATCACTCACTAACAGAACAGTAAGTTCCTGAAGAAGTCCAGGTAATTTAAGAATACACACACACACACACACACATTTAATTCAATGTGATGACATACTTCCATTAGTCACAAGCCAGAAGTGATTATACAGCTTTGACAGAGTTTGTGAATATTGATTGTGTGGACCTAAATCCATGGGAATCATTTTGTTTTCAGTTTCAAAGGATATTCCTACTTTAGGTACTGTGTGTTCTTGGATTATTTCCAGTGTCCATCCTTTTAACTTTACACACTACCTCCAGTGTGCAATTGTTAGCTGGTCATGGAATAGCCCATTTTTTTCCTGCTAGAACCATTCCCTGTTTTATCAGTATGGTTCAACACTAAAGGACTCCTTTCATCCAAATGCTAAAATTTTGTGCCTAGCATTTTTATAATATAAATTAGAGAATAGAACTTTGCATTTAAATGTTCTGTTATGTAACTCTCCAAGAAAGGTTCACCATGTAAATTATTCAACTTCAAAGCTTTTAACCTGTGTAGTCACAGACCATGGGAATGACCAGATTTTACTTAGAAAGTTTATTCCAGATTTTGAACAAGTCTATATACATTAAAAATAATTCTCATGCCTTCAGGAACTTCTGCAACAGAACCAAGAAACACATAATTTTGTGATGTTCAGTATTTACTGGAACTTCTAGTTCATACAAACCTAAATAAACAGTTAACTTTTTTAACTTTTCTTACAAAAAACATTGTTTGAAAACGAACCTGTTGCAACAACTAGTTGAAGGGCTGTTGTTCTTTACAGTGTTTGTTCTGTGTTTTACACTTTTTGTAGTAAGCTTGGTTGTAGAGTATTTAAGAAATAAAACAGGCACAGAAGACTGACTGACAGGTGTTTAGTTAGCTAGCTGCCAAGGAGATATTTACATTTATTGCAGTTGTTATGAAATGTCTTTCTGGTGTGTGTGTGTGTGTTTTGTCTCCCCTAGTTTGGAATGATAGTTACTCTAATAATGACATCATATAAAATACATGAGATTGTAAAATTCTCATTCTAGCAACACTACAAAACGTGACAAGTCACAAACAGCTGTCACAAGTCATGCCATGCAGTTATTTTTGTTTTTGTTTTTTATTGCGAATATGAACCGGTAGTGTTTACTAGTTAGAACGATCAAATGTATTTAGTAAATATTTTATGAAACTATACGAGGCCTATAAAATATTCTTGCTAGTTTAATTAGATTGTGTAGTCATCATATGAAACCAAACACAAAAGCTTAAAAACTCATCCTAGAGATATAAAATCTCAATATCTAATGTATGTATGTAAATCTTCTTTAGGGGGGGTGAACTATATATAAATATCTAGGGAACCAGAAAACAGCTGAACAAATATTTTTTTCCATAACTTTGAAACTGGGTTTATTATTATTATTATCATCTGTAAATCACTTTTACCAAAAAAAAGCCATAACTGTTCTAAATGCCAGCCAGGACTCCAGAGAACTGAGATCCTGGCATCACCTTGATCTTGAACCTCGAGTTATTAGCAAGATAAACTGAGGCATACTGTCCTTCCTATGGGGGGGAGATTAACTTATTGAAACAATGCTTGAGATTACTGTCTCCAAACATATCTATAATATGGCAGTATTGTTAATGAGTCTGAGATTCCCGACTTGTACTGGTACTTCATGTCTTTGGCATCAACTTAGACTGAAGTTCCTAATTTTTACTGGTGCTTCAGCATCACCCTGCAATGAAGTGTCTTAATTTACTAAACAATTTACTCTTAGTTCATATACGAAGAGAATGGAAGATGGTACTTGTATGTGCCTCCATACAATAAAACAGACAACTGGAATGAACTGTGTAACAAAGAATGTTTTGTAAAATTAAAATTCCAGTAATTAGTTTGAAGTACGCTAAAGCTTATCAGTGCCAGTTGGTGTAATTTTATCTGGATCACTATTTTTGTTTTTCTTTAAAAATTGCTCTCTTTAACTTTTAATTAAAGATAATTATGTTTACCTATTATTGTTTTTTTGATGTGCAATGTTTAAAAGTCCTGCTGATCTTATATTTCAGTCGTCCAGACCACTATTCAGGTTACCTCTAACTACCACGGAACTATATCAATGCTTAATGTTTCATAACCCTTACCATATTCCTAATTATTAAAAGCTGATCAAGAAAAAGATAACTATGTAATTTAACTTTTTTATTATTATTATTAATTAAGGCAGTCCTGTATAACAAATTCACTAGAAATAACTGAAATTCAGAAGAAAAAAAGCACAAACTAAAACCTAATAATGGACACTCTCGCTGTTAATAGTGTATTTTGTTCAATTCGGCCAGCCCGAGATGAATTATTAGTTCTGATTGTTATTATAATTCAAAAACAAATCTTCAATGAATAACCAGTGAGTGGTAATGAAAGTAACTAATGGACTTAATATAGGTTTCTGATTGTTGATCAGCAAAGCCACACGTTTTACATTTTACTACTATGACCTACATAAGGACTTGCAGATTTTCTTTTAATAATTCAAATATGTAAAGAACAAAAAACACTGGTAACTATCATTCTTTCAAATAATAATAAACAATAGAGGATTTTAATTTATCTCGTAGTCACTGGCTATGTTTGCAATTAGGTTTGTTTTTTTCACATATATTCTCAAATATTTTCAAACAAAATATCTTTAAATAAACTGCATGGCTCAAACCCCAGATAATGCATGCAATAATACAATTAGGAGCTAAATTTAAACACGAAATAATGTTGAACATTACTCCTAACAACATTAATTCCGATATAGACACTATTGTGCGACTTCATACACTGATATAAATAGTGTTTGTTGGTTTTTTTCCCTTCAGAGATAACTATAGAAGACTATTTTATTGATGTAGTTTGAAACTATTTAATATTTTTACTGACAAATCAAAATAGAATTAATTGAAAACTAGCTCTAGCGAAAGTTTGAACTCACCTTTAGGAACAAGATACCACTCACAGGTATAGTAAAGGCAGCGCTGTTTGCATCGAGACCTCGGGTAGTCAACAGGGCTCTAATAGAAAATATAGTACCTTACACTGAACTCTCTTACTAATTTAACATGCGACATGTCAAAAATATGAAATTTAGATTATTTTTTTTTTTTTTTACAAATGTAAACATAAATCAATCTTTAAATTAATATTAGTTTGATGCTTGAAATAAGGATTAAATACTTAACACAGAAACTTCTTAAGCAATACATCAAGTAACTACAGCTTGAATGGAAATGAATGTCAATTTGTTAAGCTTGCAAAGAACCTGTTATGCTTTAAAAAAATAACAACATTGGCAAGATCATTACAGCCAAGACAACTGTTGATAATACCTGAATATATACATAGATACAAAGACTATTATTACTAACATCTGTTCGAGATTGGAGATTTGGGGGCACTACCTCAAGTACAATTAAAATGTGGGGGGGGGTCTTTTCCACATTTAAATTTATTTGCAAAATATACAATATGGCATACAAAGCAAAAGGAGAAGACTGAAATGTACCCGTGTTTGTTCTAATTAGGATTTCTTCCATGCCAACTTTAAGTGAAATACAAGAATTTTGAAGTTATAATTAGTATGCGAAACAGATTAGGTGCAAAATTCTATAAAACTTCAAAGTGAACAAGTTTCAGCTTTGAAATTATACAGTAATTTTATATGTTAAACAGAAGGCAAAAATTGTTCAAGATACTTGTTTTGTGTAGATTATGTTTTCATCAATGTCAGGACTTTTTATCCAAGGATTTCAGATCAAAGGTTTAGAATTTCCAAAATGGGAATATTGATCAACTTGTGGTACTAGGACCATTTAGAAAGAAACCTATATAGAGTCATACACCGAGAAAAAAAAATCCACGTTTCAAAGGCAAAAGTACACAACATAATCAAGTAAAGGAACTCTTTATGTGGTGAAGGAGTACAAGTCAAGTGTACACAAGCTGCTTCTTCAACATACACGTACAACTGTTGCTTACCTCAAGCAGCTAGATAATGAAATGAGTATTCATATGATTATATATGAAAACAAGTCAGCGGATTCAACACCTATGGATTTCTGTGAGATTGTGCTGTTGACAATAGTGGTGGGAAAGTCATAAACATAAGATGGATAATGAAAAGCTTACAGGGAGCAGTGGTGTTCTTAGAACACAACAGCCTTACAACAGAGCCTTTTGCAATAGAGACCGTGCTGTAGAACTATTGACATGATGCACCATCATCAGATAGAATATGACTAGACGTGGACATGGTAAGATTCCAATATTGTTTTAATGATGCGACAATCTGTACTTATCCTGAAAATTGATGTCAAACTGATTATCATAAAACATTATGGCTGAAGTAGGTTTTATTTAACCCCAGCATCATAACTAAAATATATAAAAAAAAAATACTAAACAGTTATTTCCAAATATTGAAACAATGAAACTTAAATATAAGGATCTGTTTGACATGTATTTGATCAATCATCTCTATCCACATTGAAAAAAAAAAAAATACGTAAAAAATTTTATATACTAGTTGTTGAGTAGCCTATTCTCCTCCATTCTAAAATTATATGTCTGTGAATTGAAAGTACAATAAGAGAAATTTGGTATTTATAAGATTCTATGCTTCAAACAAGGTGAAATTTTAATTTAAAAGACAAAAGTGACATCAAAACAAAGAGATTATTTGACTAAAATGTCACAAATGTATCCCATATTACAGACTTGTCTAATGTTCTATTACCAAGTCTAAGAAGAAATAAATGGGAAGTTTAAAGAATCACCAGAAATTATAAAAAAAAAGAAAGAAAACAATCAAACATTAAATAAAGATAACTGTTCAGCTGGTCTTGAAATGTTTTTGTAATAATATAATATAACAATAGGTAGTGTATTCCATTAATGATATTGCATTGACACCCCCCCCCCCCCTGATGAGCTCCCACCAACATGAAAGTTGGCCAAGTTTACAAGTGCTGCTCCTGAGTAGCAACAATATGTCGTTCAACCTACATGTTTCAGTGAATCTCCTCTCACAATTTAACCAAGAAACAATTGTTAAATCTCAATGACGGTTAGACAGTCACCAAAACATGTAAATTGGATGTTTAAATAAATAATTTGATTGTTCTCATAAAACGACTGTGCAATTTCTAAAGTTGAAAATATCATTCAACAACATTTGTAACGGTTACGTCTAAACCAAAACTGCACTTTATTAATAAATGTTAATTATCGAGATTTATTAATGATATTACTTTGATATACATACATGTTTTTTGTACAAGCTGAGTCTATGCACACATATGCACTAATTCTGTCTTGTGGACTAGGGGTTCTGGATAGCCTGAAGGCTCTGTGTTTTATCATTAAGCTGAGGTAAAATAAATAAAGTCCATCACGTGGCGCTTGAAAATGTCCATCACTTGCGCTTCCTCCCTCTCCTCTCTGAAAGGCCCCGTCTGCAAATGGCTGAAAATAAATAAATAAAAAGAGTGTGAAGTGATGACACCGATACCTTTTTAATTCGAGCAATTTAGTTAATTTCACATTTCTGCGATTGGAAAAGCCACACAAAACGTACTACAAAAAAAACGATCTATGAAGACAAAAATCCAGAAATAGCTTCCAAGAATAAACTGTTAAAAAATATATATATGTGATTGGCATTTATCTGAAAACGAATGTTACTTAAAAATAAAAATGGCTAATAAAACCAAAGTTAAGTTCTGATTTTAAACGACAAACAAATAATAATAATAACTAACCACATGAAAGTTTTTCAGCTCTATAAAGGATTTTCTTTTTATTTTGACCTTTTCCGAGAGCTGCCAAAAAAAGGCAGATGGCACTTTTGGAATGATAGCAGCATGCTCAACATCGAACAGAGGTGGTACGTAAGGACCCGTTTCGTTCAACAACTGTAGATTATCCTCTAAGTTATCATCACGACACTGTAAAGTATGGGAAAACTTATAAACTAGTGTTTTAATACATCGAAATAATAGAATTTAGGGCAACAAATACCGATTTAACAAAGTATACATCTAAAGTTTTCTAAACAGTGGTATATGCTTTATTGATACACCTATATTAAAGAACTAAACCTTACTCAATCAGGAATTATACTGTTAACCCTAACTTAGATTTCGATACTATTCCAACAAAGTACATTACACGTTGAAGTTGTGGCCTTAAAGCGTATTATTTGGTAAATAATCACAGAAACCACTGCACAAAAAAAGCGAAATACCGGTAACTTTCTAAACAATACGTTACCGTTACAAATGTTTATACATTGTTTTTCAGATATAATTACGTATAAGTTTACTCAATTTCTGAACGTACCTTTTCACCAATAATTCGCTCTATGTATCTCTCAGCAGCATCTACAAAATAAACAGAAGTGCAGTTACATCTGAAATAAATTAAAAATTGAAACAGCTGCTTATAAAAAAGGTAAAATATTAAAGAATTACACATTCGTTTAGTGTAACTTTTTGTTAACTCCCGTGTTATTCTATAGGTTTTTTCTGCAAAACGATTTTTTTTTCAGTAACGTTATAATGTATTTTGCTTTACGACATTATGCTCACAAAAATAGTAAAAGTGGGACTGAATTGTTGAGAAAAATTATGCAGGGTGTCCCCAAATCCCAGTTTTCAGTATTGTATCGAATAAAGACAGCATATTCAACGGGCCTTTGGGACAACCTGATATACAGATTCCCTTCACCAAGCTTCCTGTGTTTGATACAACTTATAATGAACAAGATAAATAAAAAATTCGGAACTTAAAAATCTGCAATTAGGGATCGTAAAAAAAAGTAAGGAAACAAGGCTGGAAATAATGTCTACAGCATCTCCAGCCTTTTTCCTTACCCTCCCCTTTTTATGATACCCATTTGGAGGTTTTTAAATTTCCAATTTTTTAGTTATATTGTTTGATGGCTTTTTTATGCCTAACTGTGTGCAAAAGATTACTTGATATGGTAACCAACTTTATACAGTGTAATTACAATAAACATAGCTAGTAGCTAGGTGTGACGGTTCATGATGATTTACTGTAGCTATTGACTATCTGATCGCATTAGTTCGAGTTGTAAAATGTTAAGCTGCAGCTGGAGATTTGTTTGAGAATATAATGAGCATTTATAGCTTCTGTATAACTAAATTATATATATATATATAATGCATAACAATGGGTGCTAGGCTAAGACACAACCCCCACTAAGAGCATATAAAATTTTACCAGTAGAATGTCTTTTAAAGTAATTATTCTACGAATGTATTTAATAAAATTTAATATTATGTGTATGGATTTTTTCTTATTCCTTCACTGCATACACCATATAGGGTTGGCTCCCTACAGACACCGATTGTATAGTGTACAAAACACTGACTCTGTACATGTCAGTCATCTAATATTCATTGGTAATTCCTATTTGACCTTGTACTTAAGTATTTTAAAGGAACACCAGATATTTGTAAGAAAGCTAATTTCAAGGAGTAATGATAACATCGTTTACACTAGAATGTTTTTCAGCTTATGTAAAATATAATAGAAACAAACAGACTTTTCAATACTACTATGACCTTTGCAGTACCTTATTTAGTATTCTACAGAAAGTTTGGGTGCAATATACCAAGCAGATTTTGTTGTAGGCTGGCAAGAGAATAATAACAAGGAAGATTATAAACGGGTCGTTTTGAGCGGATTTTCTTTTCCTTGCAAGTGTAACACGCGTGCTATTTTGTGAATTTGTAAATGTGTACAGTCTTAGCGGTCAATAGTAAAGGTTTTAAAACGTTGTTTGAACCGATTCTTTACTGTGCAAGGTGCTTTTCGCCCGAACGTTCTATTGGGGTTTTGTGTAATTCCGGGTTCATGATACCCGATGTCACCAGTTAAGCTCGCCCAATCAGCCTTTTACTGCTGAAAACCTTCCACAATAAAAATGTGGTCTTGTAAATCTAAAAGTATTTTTTCTAATCAGTTATTAAGAGACAGTTAAGTTGACGAGCTAAGGAAATATTGGCTGGCAAAAGTATAAAAATAATTATCAAAAACATCTAGTTATCTGAAATATTTGACAATTATCCGTTTACATTAATTTCTTAAAATAATGAATTTTTGTTGAACCTCGTGTTCACTTGGCACATACAATCCGCACTTTGGGGAAACATAATCACCCAAAAAATTAAAAAGCCCATTTTCTCCAATATACTGCATTTTTTGATAGAAATAATTACTCGTTCACTTAGGTACAAGAAACAGTTTTGTCTATTTACTAGATACAAAATATTCGTTGCAAATTAAAATGTCGTTAATATGCACGTACACACGCAATATTAGCAGTAATAACAATGAACGAATTCTAAAAAAATAATAATTAAAGTCTAATCTATTGAGCTTTATATTTATTTTTAGTACCTTAAACAATTTGTTTGGCGATTAATTTTGATTATTAAATGTGTGTCAGTCAGTCTGTCCTACTGGTTAATTCTACAGTGGCAATCTTTCGTTTATACTATTGTAAAAATACATTTATAAGTAACATAAACATGCACACAAGGAAAACACAAGTTTTTTGTTTTTTTTACCTATAATTTAAAATTCGCTATTTCATAACAAAAGAGAACAGCTATTTTTCTTTTGTTTTTATATCTTAATACCATAATTTTCAAAATTCATTTTTTTTTTATAACATTCGTTTATCAAAAGTTCGATAAAAAATTGATTTGTTAGGTGTTAATACAAATGAAAACATTTTTACAAAATATTCGTTTATAGACCTTCCACTTTTTTTACACTTTTATATTTTAAATCTAAATAAAACTCCATATTCTGCTTAGTAGGTTTTATTTCATACATAATACATTATTTAAGGGATTTATCTACTTAAAACATGAAAAAAAAAATCTGTGCTTTTGCTCATACGGCGCAGCAGACGCCTTCGTATAATGGAAGTCGAGGAATCAGTTCCATCTACATTTTTCTTTTTCCTAAACAATATTTAAATAGTCAAATAATTTTAGTGCACACATCGTACGCGAAGCACGAGTTTATCCCGTATCATCAATTACTTGTTCACTATTGGTAAATAAAAAATAAAAACACTGTACATATAATCAACGAATTATTTTTCGACTCGGGCAGGATTAATAACTAAACTTAATTTACAAGGCCGCTAAAATACAGATTTAATGCTTGAACTACTCTTTTTCAGTTTAATGATCATTGTCGATATAATACAATTTTAATTTCTTTATCAAGTTACGAACGGTAATTAGTAGGCCTACTTGTTTATGGTCTCTAGTGTAAATCAATCCAAATTTGGTGACCGCTTTCGGGTAATCCCCGTAAACATGTTTTCGCAAAATCCCTGGGTTCCCCCAAGGGGTTTGATGAAAAGTTTTACCTTTGAGCAAACCTCGAGACCGAGACGATTTGATTGGTACCAATTAGAAGTTGGTGCGGCCAGCGATTTAGAAGTGACAAGAAACACAGACACAGAATCTTATTATATAGATAGCTGGTAATTGAGATTGCGAGTACAATGTCAGAACATACAAAGTATTTTCAAGGGCTAGAGAAAACTTGTTATCCTCATATTAAGCAAAATTTGGAAATTCCTGGCGGGTTAATAAGAGTGTAAAATTTACCTCTGACGACATTCCGAAACTCCTTAAGCATTTCCTTCTTCGTGATGTTGGCACCTGGCGGCCCTCTAGGGCCGGGAGGACCAGGTGGGCCTGGGGGCCCTTCTGGATAAGGCTAAGGCCCAAAAGAAATATTTAAGATAATTAATTATATTTGTATAACATAACAGAATTAGGATTATTTTATCTATTAAACACTAAATTATTGATTTGGTCAGTTTTGTTTCCGAGAAGAAGTGTATATAATAGTATTTCAACCACACTATGTTCGCCATATCCATTGCCGACGATGCGTTCGCTTAATACCAAATATCATCAATTTTTGCCATATACAGTTTTGTTTCAGGTAATTACAAATATATAATTGTTATTCTAACAAATGGTGTATGTAAGTACTGTTCCGGCTACATAGTATGTTTGTATCCCAGTCGGCTCAATATGACATTACTAAACATTTACTATAAACTTTAAAACAATGATAACCAAACCATGTTATTTTACCTTTTGTCAGTACTGACATTAAGTTATTACTACTGTCAACCATTCAATTACAATATTTATAAAATATTCGTCTTTTTTATAGCTCGACAACTGATCAAACACATCTGGTAAGTCAAAACGTATTTTACTAACAATTGTTATAATGTGAACGCCTTTTCAAGCTGGCGAAACGTGATTATAATTAAATACATTTGTCGTAAGACATTAAAATTAGGCCTATTATATTTTTTAACATTAAACTCTGTAACAAGTCCCTTAGGGATTTTCAGGAATTAGAAGAGTATATATTGCAGTGTTAAAAACATTATAATTAGTCCTATTATATCAAGTAAATTAATGTTTTACTAAATCAACGATGTTTTTCACATGACAAATAATAAGTACATTTTTACTTAGTTATCAGTGTGCTTTTTTTTTACCAGTACACAAGCAATTGTTTCTATCTCGAATTATAAAATAAATAATTTATTAAAAATGAAAGTTTGTAAAGGAGAGCTAGTATAAGAACTTTCACAAAAAATTTTCACCCAAATTCAGCACAAAAGTGTTTCCAAAATTTCGCACTTTGATTTGCTTCCGTTTTGCTCTAATTGGCAATTGTTTGACGTCTGTAAAATATTTGGGTTTCAGTTAGGATCGCGAGAAATTAAAGAGATTAATTAAAACTGCATACAACGAAAACCAACGTCATTAATTCTTTAATATAATCACATTCTAACAAGGCCTACTGTTTATTTTGCTTACATGAACAGTTTTGAACATTGTAAACTTTCATGTCTTCTCTTTAAACTTTTTACTATCAACTTATCCAACCATCACTCACCTAAATACACAAAGACAAAATTTAAAAAGGGTGAAACAATTTTACAAAAATTTAATGCCAGTATACGAACTATTTGGCGTAAGGAATATGAAAAAAAGCTAGAAAAATACCCAACTTTAAATTGGTCGAAAAAAAGCTGTTTTCGGATTAAGAGAGGTCTTTAACGACAACCTATTCAACATCATCTGTTGAATAGATACATCTTCAAAATTGCTTAGTTACATACCATAGGTGGCGAAAGGTTTGTTTGTTTGTTTTGGAATTTCGCGCAAGGCTACACGAGGGCTATCTGCGCTAGCCGTCCCTAATTTAGCAGTGTAAGACTAGAGGGAAGGCAGCTAGTCATCACCACCCACCGCCAACTCTTGGGCTAC